AAAAGGGGGGGGGACACACCCCCAGCCTACAACACCCAGACCGGGCTTTTTAACTAAGGAACGTCAACACCTTTAAGCATTTAAGACCACTACACAAAGCTGGAAATCCTGCCTCAACCGGAAAATAAAAGTGATAGGGAACTACGACCTCATCAAGAACTACAGAAAATTCCCACCAGATACCAGTCACGCTACTACTCTCAGTTCTTCTTGTGCTCCTACTTTCCAGTGTTCCCTCTGCACCATTGAATCCAACTTGAAGCTTGAGACCAGAAAACTGGCAAATTAGTTTTGTTCTAAGCTGCCACATAATCCAGTGGTGCTATAAAAACAATTCACATTCTCAGTGCATATGTTCAACACTAGTCAGAGAACAGTTGTACAGGAAGTGCTCCAGAGGCACGTTCTGAAGGGATAAAGCAGCTTGCTCACTCCAACCAAACATGCTGCTCTAAAGACACAGTAAGTTTCAGTAGTCGTGCTTGAAAACAGTTACATTTTATTGCCATGTTAAGGTAGTTCGGTGGTCACGCTAGAGACATGAGGATTTACAGCTTTTCTGGAAATCTGTCACAGTTTCTCTATAGGAGAGATTAAATCCTGCCCTCCTCTGTGAGCAACTCCTGAAAACTTCTATTTGGAGATATACCCACTCCCAGCAGGACTAAAAATTGCACAGTCACTTCTCTTCCCACAGCTCTGCGTTTTCACAGCATCTGCTATCTCATCGGTTTCATGCTGCCATGAAACTGCACTCACCATTTCACGCTTCCAGACAGCAGCCTTCAATGGAGAACTGTGATTTACTCCTTGCCAAGACGAATGCTTTCAACTTCACAACTATAGAGAGTTGTTTATTTTAATAATCAGCCTTGAAAGTTGAGTTTGAGACGAGCTTTAAACCGTATCAAGGTTGGCTTTACACTTGCTTATATTTTAATGGGTAAATAAATAAAGGTCATACTTCTGACGACTCAAACCAGCTCCTTAAAGGTCACTCACTCCTTTTTGCTGTGCTCCAGCACCCGATAAGGTGGAGCAGAAACTCCTTTGGAACCATGTTGCTCCTGCACGATCGGCAACGTAGCTGGAGTATAAATTTCCGGCATGTTGTCATTGTTCTCTAGGGCACCGTAGGAAAAAGAAGCTTTGAGGTCAGGCTGAACTGCAACCCCTTTATCGTGCATGTTCTGCATGCCTGAAAAGAGCAAAGACAGAGATTAAATGCTTAGGAACAAAAGTGCATTCTTCCCACACTGTTCAATCAGCAAATTATAAAGTCTCAGTGTTCGTGCTATGCGGCTCATCAGTTCCTGGAGTGTTAAATGAAAGACATAATGTTCTTTTGCTCAGCACTAAAGCAACTAATGGAGAAATAAGCTTCAAGTGAATGAGGGATGGCAGTCTGTTATTTATCTTTTGTACAGCTCACCAGACAGTTTAGCTGTACTTCCCAAAATAAATTTCTGCTCCCTCTGGCTTCTACCTCTTGCAACACACCTCAGCCTTCCCCAGTGATCAGTTCTTCCCGCTGGATGAAGACCAAGCCCAGGCCCCAAGCACATGCTCAAAACTAGTCCATCTTCCCAGACAGCGGCCAACTGGACGAGGCTGTTCTGACAAAATACGACGCCCTCCCGCTGCGTCAGAGGGCCCAGCGTAAGTGGCACCCAAGTGGCACATCGCCTCTTCTCTGCTTCATGCAAAACATGCACGTACCCCTCACAGGGCACAAACCAGAGAAGGAAAGACTGGAAAAACACCACAGCTGCCTGATAGACCCGGATACTGAACAGAGCCTGAAGCCTGAGCTCTCACTGTGAAGCCCCACGCTTCAGTGTATTTTTACTGTTACCTGGCATAGCGTCCATTGATATGTAAGGTTCAAACGGTACCGTTTTCTTCCTGTTTCTTGTGATCAGGAAGACACCTAGAAATGCTATGAGGCACCTGAGAGAGAAGACGAGATCTACTGAGGTAACTGTGAGAAAGAGAGGAGGTAATACTGCATGTTGCTGCCTCTGAGTGCCTATCATGTGGCACCACAAAGAATTCAGAACTGGAAGCAAAAGAACCATGAAGTGAGAGCTACAGGGAACCATGTCCACTGAATAACCCTCTCCAACTATATTGAAATCCACCTAGCAATCAGAAGAGTTTCACCTTTTCTTTATCAAAATGCAGGGAAAAGTTTTCACATTAATTAATTAACCTTGACTAAATAAAGGAGAAGGGAAGCATATCAAAATTTGGTTTTCTTTGATGACATTCCAGGATTTAGCAGCCTGACCTTTGAAAGGTTTCCCATAGGTAAACACACCAACAACTGTCGATCTTGATTTTTACAGTATGTTGACAGAGAAAGGCGCAGTTCATAACGTTAATCTCCCAATTGTTTTTTTTCTGTACTAATCTGAAAGACATTTCAGAATGTCCCCTGATTACGGAGGGCTAATCACATCAAGATACCGTATGAGGACTAAATACTGAGTTACCCAGCAGATGTTTTTCTGATCGTATCTGCACTGTGTGAGTGCCCATACCCGAAGAAACAGGACTCCAGAAGTCCAGTCACAGTTCGGTGGTGGCAGCTCAGTGCCAAACCTGAAATGGATTCCCTAGAGATGGCTGCTTTTGGTTATTCTGCAATTCTTCTAGGTTCACGAGCGGGTAGCTTGAAAAGCAGCCCATATGCTTCAACATGCAAGCTGGTCTCCGGTAGAGTCAGGAAGGGATTTAGTGTTGAATGTTGTATAATTATGTGTAACCCAATGTTACACAATTCCTCTAGAGCATCCATCATCACTCAGACAAGGTGCTGAGCTCCATGGGCCATCGTCTGCTCTAACACAGAAAGTGCTTTCAGTTTGTCCTCCTCTCCAACAGAGATGGATGGACACGTATTTTAAAAATTTTAGTCTTGAAGAAATACTTTCCAGTTTGCTGTCAAGGAAACTTTAAACACTTACCCAAACGCAAACATACATATATGGAGAACATCTTCACCGGTGAAGTCCAAGTAAAAAGTTGCTCCTGGAAAAGAAAATAATTCATGGCATCTTTCTCCCCAGCTTACCTGGGCAATTAGTGCTACATCTCCAGCACTCGTCCCTCCACAAACCAAATCCTGCAAGATTCCTATTTTCATAGTCAGCACCTTTGTTTTTTTTAATGATCTTAAAGTAGAAAAAGGTGGCCTGATTTCAACTTTAACACAATTTATTGACAAATCTTTTAGAATTTCACTACCAAAATAGTTATACTGGTGTAACTAATATAGATGCCAGTGAATCTGTACAGCAGCAGAGCAACCAGGACAGATCTTTCTGTGTTGGGGTAGGGGCTTGTGAAGGAAACATTGCTGGAACTACTGCAGGTCACTGTGCTAATAAAGCCTGAGCCAAATTCTCACCACACAGCAGTGGTTACCACATAAACAAGAGAGACTCCTTCTGAAGTCTGAATGACAAACCAAATTGGATGTCTCTAACTAGAACAGGATACAAACTCTTGACCCCAAACAAGTATATACAGCTCAAACCTACAAGGTGACAACTGTCCTCGGATGTCAACAGGACACGCATTCTGGCTCCTACTCCTTAGATTTCTAGTTGAAGTCAAGTCAGCAAGCAAGCTGATGAATCTGAGAGCAGCATATGACTCAGAACATGACAGGAAATAAACACGAGCCCAAGAGTAGGCCATACTCTCTTGTGACACTGAAGAAGAGCATTAAGAGCATTAAAAGGCGATGTGTAATCTGCGAGGGAAGCTATTGCCCTGATCTACCCAGAAGGGCATTGCTATTTACACAGACAGTATCCATCACTGTCAAGCAGATGCACTTTCTCCAGTGTTGGGGTTTTGGGTTGTTTGTTTGTTTGTTTTCCCCAGTTTCGCTCACTTGGCTAAGCGAGGAGAACAGAACCTTAAAAAGGCTGCTCGCCAGGTTTGAAGCCTGAGGGGTTTAAAATGCTCAGCTTTGTTCACGCAGACAAAGCCTTTCCTATGTGGGCAAGGGCTGAAATTGGAGTAAACCGTTCAGAAAGGAAAGTGCCTATAAAGCCGTGAGCTGTATCTAGATACAACACAAACAAGACCATCAGGAAGAGAATTGTAACACCTTCATACAGAGGAAGCAAATACAGTGTATAAACCCGTGTGTATCACACACATTTTAGCAAAATCTAGATAAAATTACACAAGGAGGAATTTTAGCTGTATTCAAGTTGCACATCTAAGGGCATACATCACCCTCTTCTACACGCTAGCATGGTCTGAGTAATACAGTCTCAAACATAAGTTCCCAGGCACTTTAAACAAAATGACAGAACTTAACAGAAAATTTTAACACAGTTTAATGGGATAATTCACATTTTTGGAAAGAAAAAAAGAAAAAAAAATAAGCCAGCTGCAGAAGAGAGATGACAGGAAAATACAAGTCATCATCTTGCCGAGTATTCCCCTTCCTTGTCTGTAAGCGAGGATTATTTTCCAAAAATCTTTTGCCCTTCTTTTTGAAAGGACCAACATTGCGCAGTTACCTGCTGTGATTGCTGCTGTTGTGGACAGGATGTAGCCGATGCTGGCGATCTGAGATGAGTCATAGAGCTGCGAGGCTTGAGCTAAAAATCTGCAATACAACGACAGACATCGGGGGTTGATTCGGGAAGGATACTCCAATTGTACAGCAGTTACCATGGACTAGAATAGGTCTCTTTCTCTTTGGAAACACCTTTCAAAAGTGATGCATAAGTTTAAGACACTTTATTTTCTTTCTCACTAAACCTGCAGCAGCATCCCTTGGAATTAATGTAAGTGATAGAAGAGTAAGCCTTATGGCTGTATTGACTAAAGGCAGCGAAATTACTGCCACTGACCTTAGGGCCAGAAGGTCACTCAGGTTGTGAATAGCTTTTTATCCCTGCTGCTGCCGGCGTTTTATGTTATTACAAGTACAGAGCGGGGAAAAAACCCACCAGACACATCATCAACCACACTGATTCTGCACTTTGACTTCAGCCAGTGCACAGATCCTGGATTCGATCTGCCACCATTTCAGTCCTGACGTTGTTTTGCAAACACTTGACTGATGTATCAGTTTGGGATTAAAACTACTTGGCAGTGTCACTGCATAGAAAAGCAAAGAACACCACCATCCCAGGCTCGTGTGACACGGATTTGAGGACAGGTCACAGAAGAGAATGGATAATTCTTCTCCTAAAATTTTATCATCATTCTTGGAACAGATAATGAACAGCCCACTAATCACTGACCCACCGAAACCAGCACAATTGTAGACAAAAAGAGAGTAAGTGTCTTACGTTGCTTGAAAGATCGCTGTAGCAATCATGCACACCAGCATGATATAAAATATCGGGTAGTCGAGCTGTAAGTTTCCTTGGATGGAGACAACAATCATGCCTGCCACGGCCTTCACAGTCACAACAGTCATGGAACCTGCGAACGTTTACCAAGGCTCAGCTGAAGCACCGACACACGCTCGAGGGGACAGGAATGCTGCACATTCCCTCTGTACGTGACAAGCAGCTGCAAACCAGACCAACAGCTGCAAGAACTTGAGCCCTCCTTTTGCCAGGCCAAACGAGGGATGCAAACGGCCTGTTTTACCACCAGCTCTGCCAGTTTTATTCCCAACAACTTCACCTTCAACACATCACTTTTCTGTATCGCAGTTCCCTTGTCTACAGGACTGGGAGCATTTCCCGTGTTTTTTAAGCGTTGAAGCGGCGTTGGGCCATCACATAATGAAGGATACAAATTTTTAATTTCTGATGCCACATAGGCTTGGTTAATAAAGCTCAGGAAGTTTTCAAAAACAAGAATCAGAAAGAGCCGACTTCCCTTCCATTTATTGAAAGCACAAGCCAGGGCCATTCAGGAGTAAGACAGTTGCTCTGTCTATAATTCTCGCAGCCTCTGAGGGATTGGTTACTGAAATCCAGCCTCAAACAGTTCAAAAAAAAAAAAAAAAAA